TTAATTTATACAGAAATATTCTAATCTTTAAATTTATTCAGAAATATTCTAATCTTTAAATTTATTCAGAAATATTCTAAACGTTAAATTGATTCAGAAATATTCTAATCTTTAAATTTATTCAGAAATATTCTAAACTTTAAATTTATACAGAAATATTCTAATCTTTAAATTTATTCAGAAATATTCTAATCTTTAAATTTATTCAGAAATATTCTAATCTTTAAATTTATTCAGAAATATTCTAATCTTTAAATTTATACAGAAATATTCTAATCTTTAAATTTATACAGAAATATTCTAATCTTTAAATTTATACAGAAATATTCTAATCTTTAAATTTATACAGAAATATTCAAAACTTTAAATTGATTCAGAAATATTCTAAACTTTAAATTTATACAGAAATATTCTAATCTTTAAATTTATACAGAAATATTCTAATCTTTAAATTTATACAGAAATATTCTAATCTTTAAATTTATACAGAAATATTCTAAACTTTAAATTGATTCAGAAATATTCTAATCTTTACATTTATACAGAAATATTCTAATCTTTAAATTTATACAGAAATATTCTAATCTTTAAATTTATACAGAAATATTCTAATCTTTAAATTTATACAGAAATATTCTAATCTTTAAATTTATACAGAAATATTCTAAACTTTAAATTGATTCAGAAATATTCTAAACTTTAAATTTATACAGAAATATTCTAATCTTTAAATTTATACAGAAATATTCTAATCTTTAAATTTATACAGAAATATTCTAATCTTTAAATTTATACAGAAATATTCTAATCTTTAAATTTATACAGAATTATGAAAATGTTTAAATATTTCAGAATTCAAAAAAGTGGACCGAAGTTGAGCAGGAAGAAAAAAATAGTGAAAAAATCCAAAACTGAGCATCCAACGTTAACAGAAACTAACAAATCTAATCTGACAGAACTGTTTTCATTTAAAACAACCAGGTACAATTCCAAGGCAGTGACTGATCAAATAGACTGTAAGGAAAAAGAAATTTCAGAAAAGGAACTCAAAGGGCCAGAAGATCTTGACATATTTTCCTGTAGTAGTTCTGATGATGGAAATAATTTGAGCTCTGATTTCAAGCGAGACGTATTCGATCCCGGGAAAATGACTTCGAACCTAAAAGGAAAAACTATGAAAACTTATTCCAATATACGCTCAAAATTTAAACGTAAAGTTCTTGATACAGATATAGAATTGGAACCAAACGTAAAAGAAATGATGTTAAATTTAGACACTGTAGAAGATGATTTGACTGCCTTCGAATTTAAAGAAATTTCAAAACCAGAAACGTTGGCACAAAATAATCATAAAAGTGACTTTCAGACTAAAAATGAAACTGAGAAGAGACAGATGAAAGTAAATCATTTTAATGACCCATTTGAATTTGAAAGTGACTCCAAAGAAGAACTTGAATTAGAGGATAAAATTAAGAAATTAAAATCAGCTGTAAATAGAGAAAGATCAGAAAGTCCTATAATAGGAGATAAAATTCAAAAATCTAAATTCCCTGATATAAATGGAAACGATGACCTTGATGATGAAAGTCAGATCCTCGACGAAAAAATCCAGAAATTAAAATCATGTATCCGCAAAAACAATTCTTCCGACGATCAGGAATCCAAGAGTTCAATTCCATCCAATAGCTATTCAATACTGTTACCTACTATCTATGTAGAGAAATGTGATAATTTGAGACTTGATGATAGAGAAGATTTCAGACTGGATAATCTAACAGATAGTGACTGTCCTGATTCTTCTACCCCTGTATTATCCAAGACAAAACCCCGGATAAATTTTCCACGGTTGTCCAATATATATCATTGTCATAACAATACCTCAGTGCCGTCAGTCAGTGACACGAAAAAACTCAAAATTCAAAATTTTCCAATTGATTCTCAAACATCAGATACCGAAATAGAAACAGAATTCGTTGTTTTTAAAAATAGTGACATAAACCAACGCGTGCTACCCCAAAGAAAAACTTGTAGAGTACCGATTCTCGACCAATCAGAGCTGCCAGAGCTTCCAACTCTGAGCTTAGTAAAAGATGTGAAAAAACGAAAGAGAACTGAAACTAAATCTAAACCAAAAACTAAATCGAAATCACGTAAAATTAAAGACTTGGATTTCCCCAGTGAATCCACACAGAACACCGAAACTTCGATTTTAGATTTTTTCAGTCAATTGTCTCCATCAAAGACGTTAAAAGCCAGTGATATTGAGCGAGACGCGATAGAAGTGAAGGAAGATTTTGATATAAAATTAATCGAGGAATTATCAGACATGCCGAGATTGAAGAATGAAGGTAACTTGGAACTTCAGAGAGAAATTCTCAAACTTGAGTAGGTTGAATTTTTTTCACTTCCTATTTCTCTATATGTCTTTTAAAGAAAAGACGAGTCATCATTTTAACTTTCGAATGCACATTATTCTGGACACAAGCTCAAATTTCGATTAGCTTAGCTAAAATTTTAACTGTTGATAACTATATTTTAACTGTTGATAACTATATATTAACTGTTGATAACTATATTTTGACTGTTGATAACTATATATTAACTGTTGATAACTATATTTTAACTGTTGATAACTATATATTAACTGTTGATAACTATATTTTAACTGTTGATAACTATATTTTAACTGTTGATAACTATATATTAACTGTTGATAACTATATTTTGACTGTTGATAACTATATATTAACTGTTGATAACTATATTTTAACTGTTGATAACTATATATTAACTGTTGATAACTATATTTTAACTGTTGATAACTATATTTTAACTGTTGATAACTATATATTAACTGTTGATAACTATATTTTAACTGTTGATAACTATATTTTCAGTGATGTTGCTGATTTAAATGAGGCTCAGATTAGATTAATGGTATTAAATAGTGAAGCCTATTTGCGAGATATATTTCAAGGCAAGGTAGGTTT